GGTACTTGTTTCCATTGATTTACAATTTGGCGATAGAAATCCTGTACAAATTTTTTCAAAAATAAAGACGCAAAGTTTTTCATTTTCAATGCATTTAAATATTGGAGAAGAATTTACTGGCAGATGGGGTAAATAACGTACAATTAAGTCTTTCATTAGTCTTTCCAGGTATAGGTCATTCCCACAATCAAGTTGGAATATTCCCTGAGAAAAAAAATAATATTATTAATTTAATACAGGTTTATAAAAACTATTAAGGATTCAATTTTATTGATTTAAACTACCTGTACAAATAAGTGCCATGTTCTTTGAAGCGCATTCAAAATAAAATTATGAGGGACTTTTCCTTTGAGAAAATCAGTTGGCAAAAGCAATGTATTAGTTAAACGACTCAACAAACAGTTTGATTTTGCTTTATTATAAAGAAGAACTGAGCAGTGGTAAAACAGGACTCCAAACATGGCATAAATATGTACTAGTAACTCTTCAGAAGTGGGCATCTTGATAATTTTTTCTATCCATGTGTCTGCATGTCCGAAACAAATCTCACAAACTTCTTTCAATGATGCATTACTCGAATGAGGCACGATATTCAGACTTAAACTTTTAATGAACGAGTGTAAGGAATCGCAATTTGATGAAATACCACAGGAAGAAAATGTCTTTAGTCTTAAGACCTTTCTAGATAAATTTGTATTTGAATTGGTCGTTATAAGACTGCATCGAATCCATGCCTGTAATATTGATATTTCTTCATCTTTGGGCAAAATTTGCGTGTCACTATTTTCGTTTAAATAAAAACTGATAAACTGAATTGTTATTCTTGGTGTAATCGTTTCTTTAGTAAACTGGCGAACATATTCTTTCGATAAATCTTTACTGTATTTGCATATCAAAGCAACCAACTCCCCAACCTAAATAGGAATAAAAAGGTATTTACTAAATTAATATAAAATATAATGAGAATTGAAACAAAAAACAAACCAAAAATCCTTCACATAAAAATAAAAAGATAAAGTAAAATTGAAGATCGGGAAAAGAGCTATCAAATACATACAAAACTGAAAATAATTACCTGTACAGGAACGTCTGGAGTTAGAGCTATTTGTCTGAGCCCTGGAAGGACATTTATTTGAAAAACATTTTCCCATGGTTGCCACTCGTCACACTCCTGAATTTTGCGCACCATATTGCATAAAAAGTTCAATAAAACGATTAGTTCTTCTTGTTTACAGTGTAACATGTATTTATACATCCAACTGCTTAAGAGGACAATTTTTCCTCGATAATTTCCGTAATTTATATTAAATATATACTTCATACCCTCTACATAAAGCTTGAGCAAATGATACAGACTTCTGTTATTTGAAGAGTATTCAGCAAGTTGAACCAATGGTTGAGCTACTGTTTCCAAAGATAATTTCTTTCTCTCATGAAATATTATCAACATTAAGTAAGTATTCCAAATTAAGGCAGAATTGCGACGATCAGGTGAGACATTTTCTAAAAATTGTAATAATTTTGAAGTGATTTCTTCAAAACTCACACTTTCATGAAGAGAAAGGAACAATATTATTATGTGGTACAATCCAAATTCATTAAATTCGTTGATTTTATGCAAAGGCAATCGGGAATATATTCTCCCTTTTATTCGAGGCCAGTGATTAGGATTATTTTGTAAATGTTTAGCTAACATATGCAAAAAATAATCATATGAACTTGTACATGAATGGAACTACAAAAATACAAATGATTAAAATCCATGATTCGCAATAAATATGCATTTGCATGAAAAATTACCTTTTCTGATACTAACTGGTCAATAAAGTTAACGAAAGCTTGAATACATTTAAAGGGTTTTTCGTTTGTAAAGGAACTATTTAACTTCTTGTTGAAATAATCCCACAATATTTGATACAAATCTATTTTGGCATGATTTATCCACCAATAATTCAATAAATTATCTACATGCTTTAATAACTTGAGAAATTCCTTATTGTCTATGGATTTTTTTAGAAATGATTTTAATTGAGATTCAACAATTGGAAAATTAGGTTTAATTCTATCACTGTTTGCTCCCACAAATTCCATATCTTTGTTTATTCCTTGTAGTGAAGCAATGTTTAAACTAGAATCAAACAGATCATATTTTAACTCTGATACATGCTAAATTAAAAGACTTACATTAACCACAGGGAGAATTCTTCATCATAGTTTAAAACAGGATTTAACACATCCCAAAATGATATACCGCAGTTTTCAGTAAATAACTGTAGTTTCAGCCACATTTTCTTAATACACAAACATCCAAAAGTATACGAATTGCTGTGAAAAAAATTGTGACTGCTATAAGAAATTTTTATTAAATCTTTAAATATGTTTGTAAGCTGAATTCTTATGTCTTCTTCATTTTTGGATGCCAAAAACACTATCGATAGTATCAACCACTGGAGGTCTAAGTAACTATGCAGAAAAACATAAGCAGGAGATTTCCGTTCATATTTGGCATGAATGATTTTCTTTAAGCACCTTTCATTTAGTTTGTGAATAGGAAATACAGACTTTTTAATTAAATTAAGCGATTTGTAAAGTTGGTCTTGTATTTCCAAAAAATTGTTTTCATATCTGTTTATGAGCAAACATTCTTGAAAACTTAACAGTATGTTTACTATTTCTCCGCGCAAGTTCATAGTTTGAGACACTGGGGAAATGTAGTCCGAAAAAATCACCTCTTCGATCTGTTTCCATGCTTTAACAACTAGTTTCATAAAAAGCTCGACTTCAAGGTAAAGTAAATTGTTATAACATTTTGTGTTTTTCAATTGAATGAGTTGCACATCAAACAAGCCATTGGAGTAAAATATGCGATTCAAATCGTCTTTAACTTTGATGTTATAAAATGTATCACAGTTAAGGCACTCGAAAGAATCCCAAGCAGGCATGATTATACAGTTTTTATACACTTAACACTAAATTAATATAATAAAACAAACACTTTTTACACAACACTTACCGGTATAATATTTAACCTAAAACCATAGATAAACTTAAAACATCTAATATTGGAAGTGGTTATCAAACCTGTACGTAAAGAAAATGTCTCCATAACAGTTAAAAGTAGTTGTATTTAAATTGTAAATGAATATTCTTTCGATATAATTAATTCGGCTTGTATACTTAAATATAAAATTAATGAAATTTTAATTTAATATTTATTCTTTGATGCTCTACTCAAGGGATTTGTCATAATATGGTGTCTCAAGTCCGCCATGTTTAATATAACCAGTTACACTTTATACTTGAGCATCAAGATGGATTAAATCATGATTACATTTGATTTGCCATTTAAATACTATCGTCAATAGGATAAAGTTATCAGGGAAATGACGAAAAAAAAAAGAAGTTGAAATAGGAATGTCGTATATTAATCAACATTTATAAAATATTTTAAATTGTAACAAACATGACTAGATTCATACTGATTCACAAATAAATGACAATGAGCGGCGTCAAACGCACAGATTTGGTGTGAGAGTGGGGCTGAGCATTCGCAAAGCAGAGCCCCCGCAAATTAAACAACGATAACATTAACAAGTACACAAGTACCGTTTCCCGCATTTTTCGAAACCTTTTCTTTTACGTTCTTTTTTTTATCTTACAACGAAATATAAATCACTGCGTATTCGTATATGTTCGTTCCCTCTCGATTTTTTATTGATTATCGTTTACACAGTAATAATAATAATTATTTTTCTTTTTATTATTAGCATTCGAATTTCGATCAATTTTTTTAATGTAGTGGTAATATTGCGAATGGTGACCGCTTCAGGGGTCCAACGAGCCGGCCGCTGGCCCCTGGGCCATTCGCGCCCCTGGTTCATCTATACGCGGTTGTAGTACCACGAATTATTAGGTGATAGCCTTAGTTAGGTATTTATAGAGCTATAATCAAGCAAACGTTCTACTATACATATTTATTTCGACAGTGCATGTACGAATTAGTGCAGAAAATGCTCATAAAACTCATCAACTTTTATTTTCTCCTATTTTCCTTCAATTTCATTTATTTTTTTTTATGTTTTTAAATAAAATGTTAATCAAATATTTTAAGCCGTAATGAATAAAATATTTTTGAAGCAATGAAAAAATATTAACAATAATTTATTTATTTAAAATAATAGCCTGATTTTGTTGCTCTATTATTTTTATGTTAATAGGCAACTGCACAATCAGTTCTGATTTAATATTAGGTAAACGTTTCCATTAAAATTTTGTTAAAATCTAGACTTTTTTAATATTAAGAATATCATAAAAAGAAGAATTAAATAATTCGAAACTTTACTATAAGCGAAAATTCGGTTAATTCAGGAAAACTCATTGAATTTTCTTAAAGATTAACAACGATAAATAAAAAAATGCAAAGTACCTACTAAGGTGAAAACTTTGTAAAATTACATTACTGGATGCTTTTAACTGCTGGACAATAGTTTTGTGACATAAATAAAAAAAATGACGATAAATGAAATATTGCTAGTATCGCGTGTGGTCAAAATTTGATCATTTTACTGCAAATACATAATATAAAAGAAAAAAAGATATTGTATCGACCGGGAGTCGAAACCGCAGGAAGAGAATACTACTGTAGTAAAGTTCTTCTAACTTAAGGCGTTTTCTACTGGTATTAATTACGATTAATTCAAATTAGATTACATCTGATTTAATGGCAACATTTGCACAATTTTTTTTGTTAT